TATCTAATTGTAAAAAAAAAAAAAATAGTCAACAATTAGACCAATTTCCAGATGTAAGTCTGTTATCGGCTTTAAAAGAGCTCGTCGATTGCGTTAAAACAATCGAATCAGAAAACAAGAAAATCAGAGACGACCTACATTTATTACAAAGAAAATATGATGAATTACAGCAAGCATGCAAAAAAATCGAAAAGAATCAAAATGCCCTGCTTTATAACAGCTGCAGTAATTTATCAATTCAAAAATTGAAAAATCTTTTTCTTCTGGTTCAATAGAAAATCATTCCTCAAATACTGAGTATGCGTTAAACGACTTACCTTTACGTTACTCTTAGGATGAGACTATCATTATGGAGTCTAGTTTAAATACATACGTAATCGGAAACCAAAATAGAGTCATCTATGCTAAAAAAGTTCAAATGCAACGTTTTCTTTTGGTAGTTAAAAAAAAATGTAGCAAGTAAAGTCCCAACAGAAAAACCTAGAATATAGTCCATTTTTGAAAATAAAGTTGCATTCAACAGAAACTCTATTGCAGGCGAACGTACGGTGCGAGAATTTTATATCTTTGTGGGAGGGTATGTAACTCAATATCAGAAGAAGATCTGTCTAACCACATCAAAAATGAAATAGGTATTGAATCAATTGATGAAGAACTTAACAGTGAAAACAAATACAATCGTTCATACAAAGTGAAGATAAAAAGTACTGAAAAAGACATAATCCTAAACCCTGGTGTTTGGGACAATAATATTATCGTTAAACCATTCAGGCTTTCTTATGATACATCAAAAAGCAAAAAAACAACACAGCAGAGTGTAACTAATACGCTACACTTTGAGTAAAAGCTTCGGAAATAGTTCTTTTTGTGTAAATAACTGCCAAAGTTTTAAATCGAACTCAATTTATATTTCTAAACTTCTATCGGAACATTGGCTTTTGATAATTGAACGTTTTGTGCTTATCAACATAGCATTGCCGACACATAAAGTATTTTTTTCATACGGTTGAAAAAAAGGCATATGGAAGACCATTTGGAGGAAACGCATTTATTGTTAAAAAAAGGTGTTTTATTATCTATATCACATAATTTATGAAGATGAAAATATTCTCGCGATTAAAGGTAAAAGTGTCAAAATCAAGTCTTTATAGGTATTTATCTTAATCCCTCTCAAGGTACATACAACAGTTAAACTTAATTACGTCAAACCTAATTTATAATAAAACTACGATAATGTAAGTGAATGTATTATTGCAGGAGACTTTTAATCATATCCCAAACAGTTTACAATTCTGAGGATCGTAATATTAACCCGATGGGAAATGAGCTAGCGACTAGCTAGCTTTATAGCAATTTTCAAGCGATTTTTTTTTTCTTATTTTATTCTTTACTAATGTCTCTAACATCTTTAAAAATTCGTTTTTTAGTGTTAAGTCTATTATAATTATGAGAATAATTAAACTTTAAACATTGCGATTTTGTAGCAATGTGTCGCTAGCTACATATCGTAGCTTTGTAGCTAGCTACAAAATATCTACAAATCTATAGCTGGTTGATAGCTATATACCAAAATTTTTTTTAAGGCAATTTTATTACGATTTTTTTAGCATAATATGACGGTAGCTACAACAGCCTGTGAGTCTTTAACTTATTAAGCTAGCTGTCCTCGTAGCCAAATCGCTGTCGTTATCTTTACAAATATCGTTAGCTTTTCGCTAACTTAAAAAAGCTAGCGATCCTCGTGGCCGAATCGCTCTCTTTATCGTAACGATTATAGCTAGCTATTCGCTAGCCAATTATCTACCGGGAAAACACGCTGCAAATTCTCTAATCATCTAACTAATTTCATTAAATCAAATGAGCTCTCTTTGATTGATATAATTAGTGGCGCTGGTCCAAAATATACCTATCAACGTAAAGCTCTTTCTAACTCATCTTAAATCGATCACATCACAGCTCTAAAAGAGTCATTCTTATCTTTTATAAATACAAAAATTATTATCCCTTTGCTTTTTATTTTTAGTGATCACTTTATAATCGTGCAAGTATCGTCGTTACACATATTATCTATCAACCATAATAAATAGCATAACGTATAAATATAATCTTATTCCAAAATATGCATGGAATAACAAAAACTTTATTAACCTGTATAATTATAAACTTTACATACCTTTCAATAACTACACCTTCAATAAAGAAAAATTTGAACAAGAATTGAAACAAACGAAAAAAATCAAAAATGCTGCTCTATTAGCAGTTAATCAATCTTTAAATAACGTAAAATCTTTAAATATTCCAAATCGCGGCGGACAACGGAAATTCAAAATGTAAAGGAAATCTTTCTATAACAAATAAACAATCTTTCTATAACTATAAACAATGGCAAAAATCTAATTATGATAAAACATAAGAATGCATTGAATACAAAAGATACATCCCTGTACGTAAAAACTTCCGTAAAGCAGTTAAAGCAGCTCATAACAAAAAGATCATCTAAAAAGCTATAAATATTAGGAATCTTTGAAATATAAATCCTCAGAAATTCTGGTATAACATTGTTTAATTGAAAACTAAAGCAACAACTTGATTATTTATCATTAATAAATCGCAAAACATAAAAGATATTGTTAAAGAATTCAGACAACATTTTCAAACTCTACTCAATACGCCTTATATTACAAATAATATATTATTTGTATTATGGATCATGGTTATAACCATAATCCTCCTCAAATTCGACATCTAATTAACGAGACAAATTTACTATTTATTACATCAGCTGATATTATAAATTGCATCTCTCAATTAAATAGTAATACGTCCCCAAATAGTTTTGGGGTATGTGCTGAACACCTTAATAGCAAAAATTAAATAAATTCACATAGAAAAAAATTATCATAATAACAATATTTTTTTGTGGCTCGCTAAATTCTATAACAGTGTTCTAACAAATGGTACCAAACAATCTATCAACTTCAACAATTATTCCACTAGTTAAGTCTTATAAAAAATCACTTAACAATCATCTGGAGATGATTACCGAGGAATTAGTATTTTACCTATCTTTACTAAACTTCTAGAATATCTAATACTACTTATATGTTCTAGTATAACAGATAGCCATTCTACCACGTAGAACTTTTATTGAGCGAAACTGTTAATCACTATACAATCAATAAGATGCCTTTAAATATGTGCAGTTTAGATGCAAATAAAGCTTTTGATACTTGCAGCTGAGATTTGCTGTTTGAGAAGCTCTACTTCCGTTGTCTGTAATACACACAATTTTATCGCTTTATCTTTCTGGTATTGCAAACATATCCTATCAAGGAATTACATCAAACCAATTCAGTCTGTCACAATGGGTGCGACAAGGGTCTACTCTATCACCTCATTTTTATAACATTTATGCTGAAAGCATCCTAAATGAAATAGTCTCTGAATGTATAGTAGGATTAACAGTAAATGGCATTTATACTGGTGTAATTGCATTCAGATGATGTAATTTTGCTAAGTCCTACAATCTCTGGTCTGCAAGAACTGATTAACAGATTTCAAACATACGGAGTAGCAAACTTTACCAAGCTAAACACACTGAGAAAAAGGAATTTCTGATTTCTGGAGAAAAGCAATATTTGCAACAACATTATTTAAATTAACGGAGCTTCTATATACCTTCAAAATAAATTAAAACATTTGGGTTTCGAATGGGATAACAATACTATGTAAAACACAATTGCAACACTCCAAAAAAACAAATTTGAATGAGCGTATAACTCAGCTTTAATTGGTTGCAATAGCTCTACATCTACAGTGGGATTCGTTACTGCCAGCCGTCAACAATAGTCCATTTGTACAATACCTTTACTGTGCCGAAGTTTATTTTTGGTCTTGAGCTATAGAAATGTAATATTAGTTTTTTTTTAGCATAATAGACGCTGTTGGAAGAGCAGTCTTAAAATCATTTTTCTGTATCTCTAACTACAGTAAAAATTACCTATCTTTGTTTTTTAAAATAGAGGGTATTTCAACTATTCTGCTCAGAACAAAGTAAATCTTTTTATCAGGTTGTTAAAAAATCAAACTTGCTATTCATCATTCAATTACAGGCAATACAAATGAAGTGTTTGAAGCCTACAACACTTTTACACTTAGTTTAAACTTCGTCCAGTGCATGATAAATGAAAAAAAAAAAATTCTCGCAACCTATCGAAGACCTGAAAGCTGATGTTGTGTCAATATTGAAAAAATTTTGAAATTTGAAAGAAAAGAGTCGTTAAAAATTTTGATTGAGGAGAATGTTCCAAGAAGTCTGATCCAATAAATTGTGGAAAACAAACAGTCTGGCTATTAGCATTTAATGCTAACAACTGCGAGAGCCGTGTCGTGAACGTGTCGTTTTAGCTGATTTTAATTTAATTAGTCGTTATTTTATTATAATTTATTTTCGGGGGATAAAGAGAATTTTATATATAAGTTTATATATAATATATCATTGCGTATAGTTGACGCATATGCATTAAACCTTATTTTTCCAAATGAGAAATTATTAAGTGATTATGTTGATTAGTCTTCATAACTGTATAAATATATTTTCTTAAAAACTTCTTACTCCCGGGCATGCTGGAATAAACTTCTTTTTCTACCGGACAGTATAGTTAACCTTTTCAGCATACTTTATCAAAAACGAATTTAAAAATAATTTCTATAACTTTTAAATATTAACCCTTTAAATGCTATTTTGTAGACAGAATTCACATCAAATAATAAAATACTTATTTTCAGAAAAGTGAAACACATCAAAGATTTTGTATCAATTTAAAAATAAACTAAATATACGATTGGGAAACACGCACGTAACTTGTGTTGCACTCAAAAGTGCAACAAGAGTAAAAAGTGCATCAAGAGTAACACTCTGCATTGCATTCGTCGGAAAGTTGTACTTATATTTTTAAGATATATATTTTAACACAAATAAACGAGTAATAAAACACAAGAAATGTTTAATTCGTTATATTTAATCCAAGAATGTTTTATTTTTTTAAAATCCAGGTTTTCGCTTTTTTTTAATACAAAAAATATACCAGTTAGTAACAACGTTTTTGCAATAAAAAAAATTGCTTTTTAATACAACTCAACTCAAGAGTTAAGAATCTTTCAAGATATTTTACATAAATAAGATGCATAAAATATTCAATAAATGTCAAAAAATAAAAGAATGCCATTACCAAATATAATTGATACAAATAAAAATTTAATCTAATATAATAAATGACAAATAAAACCAGATGTTTAACAACAAATCAAATCTAACAAGCAGAAATTAGACCGCTCATAATTACATCTATTTGTCTGATATTTTCATAAATATTATTTCTCTATAACATTTAGTAGTTTACTTTTTTATGATTGCCAAAGCAACCAGAGTTTAAAAATTAGTTTTTATTCAAACGTCGACTTTGTAAACTCCATCTTTGAACACATACATCTTGCAACCATGTCCGACAACTTCTGATCCATGAACATCATCTTGTTCGTAGACAATAATCATTCCTTGCATATCTACTGCATTTCCTTCTGTTTCATAAAAACTTAGTTTATCGCTATAGCGAGAAATAAATAAATTGTCTAAAGTTTTATTCATGTTTTCTTTTATAACAGACAATCGTTTTTCATCTTTAACAAAATTCGTTAGCTTAGCTACATAAGCATCCAGTAACTTTTTGAGGCGTTCTTTACTATGAATAGATTTTATTCGATCAAGCTGGTTTGCACGGATAATGTCAGGAAAGAGCAAGTCTTTGTCGTGTAACTTTTCACCTATAAAAAATTTATTGTTGTGCTAAAGTCCTATATTTCTTGATTTTACGTAGCAGAGCACAGTGATATTTTTAATTTTAGTTAATTTAGCGCTGCGCTCTCCTAAGTAAAATTAGGGATCCATGCGCTGTAGTAACAATATTAAAGCAGAGATGCAAAGTCATAACGAATTTTAGGGTCTCCGTACTCCAGGGTCAAAAAATTGGGATTCGGAACTTTTTGTTTAAAAAAAAAAATTTAGTCGATTAACCAGAGTTTTTAGGGATAAAATAATTAAGTAAAAGCTTAATCTATATAATATCTATATAAATTTCAATTATGCTGTAAAAAACTTTAATTTATATTTGATTTTATTTCTTTGCTTAAAAAGAAATAAACTACTTCTTCTAGATTGAAGGTATATCTTATAATATACTTTAAATAATAAATTTGTTTATACTGAGGTTGCATGCAATAGTGGTGTAGTAATAGAGCGCTTGTTTCTTCGCATATCGGACTTCTCTTTAAGGGTCGTCCATAAAGTACGTACGCTTTTTTCGTCCACCGTCCTCCCTGCATTTTGCAATACGCTTTTTTGACTATCCTCCACCTCCTTTTTTTTTTTTTAAGACTTTTATAGCCCCTCCTTGGCGAGTGACAAAAACCCGCCCCTGACCATACGCAACGTAATTCAATCGTTCGTGCTTTTACTGGTTTAAATTTAAGTTTAAAGTTCGTTGGCTAAACAATTTTAAATTAATAAATTTACAGAAGTTAGTAAGAGTTCGTTTTGGAAACGTTTATATACCATTATACCAAACGGGGTTCGTTTGGAAACGTTTATATACCAATATAAAACTTAAAAAAATCCTGGAGTCTTGCTCAATGCAACTAAGGCATAGAACAAACAAACTAGTAAAAAAAAGCCGATAGTTTAAAACAAATCCGATTGGTTGTTAGTAGGCAACCGAAAAACTTTTTATTTATTGGTAATTAATTTATGCAAACAAAGAATTCGAATTGAAAGTAATTTGTTTATAAAGTTTACCGCCTCTGTTTTTTAATTATTTATGCGATAATTTATCATTTCAAGATGGCCGAATAAGTCCCGAGTATTTCAAAAAGGGGATCGCCTAAAACGCCGAATTCTAAAACGCCGAAAAGCCGAAATGCCGAAAAACCATCTTAAAGTAACAGAATAAAAAACGGAATGAGAACAATGAATTACCGGTAGTCAACCCCCGCGTTATTAATGTTTAAATTATTTTGTTTTAAATTTAAAAAAATTCAAAACATGTAAAATTAAAAAATAAAATGCAGCAGTAAATTTTGTTTAAAAAGACAGAACCAAAAGCCAAATTTGGCTTTGGCTTTTGTCCTTTTAAACTTTGCATTTACAAATGCGCAATAAAAAATCCGGGGGATATTTAACTTTTCGTTGTCTTTTTTGACGGTTACCGAATTCTATTATTACGCCATTTTTTTCGGCATTTCGGCTTTTCGGCGTTTTAGAATTCGGCGTTTTAGGCGATCCCTTCAAAAAGATACTAAATACCAAAAACAGTTTTTTAAATGGGGTTAAAAGTTATGACTATGCAAAAATGACTTTGGTAGAAAAATTAGCGCTACCTTAGGTTATCTAAATCTAACGTGGCATTATTGTTAAACATAGTCATTTAGGTGTGGTATTAAAAATAGTAACTTCAATTTTCATAAAAAAATGGTTTTTCGTGGATAATTTTCCCAAATAATGTCTGATTAAAAATGTCAAGTTACATTCATTGAAAACAAACACCAATACGTGCTTTTAAGAAAAAATCAAGTTCATAGACTTATCTATAGCCAAGTCCCAAGGTACTTTATGTTAAAAATTGCATCTTTTCTAAATAAAACTATGCTTGACGATTTGTTATAGTCGCATTACTTTTACCAGATTATAATAGTGGTTAATAAAATCTTTCCATACATACCAAATATGTCATACTTTTTGATGAAAAAAACTTGCATACATTGTAATTGAAAAAACTTATATTTTTGTTCGGAAAAACTTGTACCGGGCCATAGTTGCATTGGACTGCTGACTCTGGGTAATTACAGGGATCCCTAGAATCCCTGAAACAACCTCAAAAATTTTTGAAAATTATCACAAAAATATTTGAAAATTATCACAAAAAATTTATTTTTGTGATAATATTTTTTGTGATATTGGTACATAAATTTAAAGTTTTTCAAGAATAAGTTGAAAAAATGAAATTTTTCTAAAAAAGCAAAAGTAAAATAATAATAATAATGTAATGATAAAAATAATAATAAAGTAAAAAATAATGTTAGTGCAGCTGTCAGTCAATTAGAGGATACGCCAGTTAACCAGAAAATATTTTTTAACTTTACAAATAACATAATTTTTTTTTTACCTTTTTTTAGAAAAGATTTGTTTGCACTAATGAGTTTGTCGTCTATTCCTTCATGCTCTGAAATTATTTTTCCTTGCACGATATAAAACAAATCGGTATCATCCGTATCGTACGTGAAAGCATCTGAAAACACATCCTCGTGCGTAAAAACATCTTTAAAAACGTGCATTTTTGATAAATTAATTTATTGTTATATCGACAGCTGCTAAACTGAAGGTGTTGCAAATTAAAGGTCTTTTAATTTTTTTACAGCGTTTCTCCCATTTAAATAATTTTTTCACCAATCAAATTGCTTTAAAAGTTATAAGCTTTTTAAAAATAAAGGGAAAAAAAAATTAATTTTTTAATTGGTTAAAAATAACCAAAAAAATGCTGGCAAAGAGTATTATTGACGTCTTGCTATTTAACATTAACAAAGGACGTGTTTAAAGTATGCAAAAGAAGCTATCAATTGACGCAAATGCTTGTTAAAAAAAAAATTGCGGTCAAAAGATTTTTTCGGATTTTTTCAACTTTTTTAGTGTATTCAAACTCGCAGCTTTACTTTTTAAACCAAATGTTTTGATGTTTGAAAAATGTTTGAAAAAACTAATTTTAGAATCTTTTTGTTCTTTCACTTAATTTAATCTAGTAAATCTAAAAACTTTAAAGTAATTATATAAAGGTATTTAAGACTTTAATTTTATAAACAGCGCTCGAAGATTATAGAAAAACTTTAGATCGTGTTGTCAAGAAATTTGTTTATAAATATACAAAATATCAAAATACTGCTCAGAATAATAAAATTTATCTACTTAATATTAACACTAACTTATATATAATATTAAAACTAACACTTTATATATATATATATATATATATATATATATATATATATATATATATATATATATATATATATATATATATATATATATATATATATATATATATATATATATATATATATGTGTATATATATATATATATATATACACTATAAAGTATATATATATATATATGCACTATAAAGTATATATATATATACATATATATATATATATATATATATATATATATATATATATATATATATATATATATATATATATATATATATATATATATATGTATATATATATATACTTTATAGTGTATATATATATATATATATATATATATATATATATATATATATATATATAATATATATATATATACTTTATAGTGTATATATATATATATATGTATATATATATATATATTTATATATATATATATATATTTATATATATATATTTATTTATTTATAGGGTTGTCCAGATGTCCGGCTTTTACGGAGAAGAACACAGTGTTAAATCTGTAAAAAAATATTTTTTTTTACTGTGTTCTCTTTCGTAAAAGACGTCCGGCAACCCTGTACCCTGTCTATAAGACTGGCACATTAGAGGAGGGTTTATATATATATAAATAAATAATAACAGTTATTAACTTCAAAATCACCTTCTTTGTTCCATCTCCACCTAAAATTATACCACTTCACTAAAAGATAAGGCTGTTGGATGTCCTTTATTATTATTTATTTTTCCAAACACGTAGTCATAGAGGGTAGTAACAAGAATGTTATACATTGATAGAGCCGCACGTATTGAAGCACCTGTTTAAATTTCTCCTATGGCAAGCTCAATATCTTCTGAAGCATATGAGACAGATGTTTTTTGTTTTTTTATAATGACAAACCATCATGAAAACTGAAAAATTTCAGAAAAAAATCAAGTAAAATGCATGTTAAATGCGAACATGTCGTATATAAAAACACCACAGTTTTGGGACGTTTAAGAAGCACTACTTTTTAGGCAGTTTTTAATTTTTTCCCCTTTCTTTTATCACCGGTTGTCTTTTTTTCCTAAACCCCCTCCCTTAAATAGCATGTCAAATATTTGTAACTTTCCACTTTTTTTTTTAAAATGAAATAACTAATTAAATGTGAATTACAGTTTTCTGTGTAACTTTAATTAAGTTACTATCGTAACTTTAACACAGTTTGTTCTTGTAAAACTCTCTGAAATTATTATTGTTATTATTATTATTATTATTATTATTATTATTATTATTATTATTATTATTGTTATTATTATTATTATTATTATTATTATTATTATTTTTATTATTATTATTATTATTGTAGATATAACTGCTACAGAAATATTCTGTGAATCTAACAAATAATTTGTAGACTATGGCAGTCCAATTGATTTGCAAAAATCTGTCGCTTATTAGAATAATGTTTATCAAGTCTGTTTTTAAATTGAAAAACATTATCAGCCTCAACAATTTCTCTGGGAAGTTTGTGTGAAACGATTCTATTAGTAAAGAAGAATTCTCTTTGGCTAATGTTTATCTTAGTTTGCTTAATGATGGGGTGTTGATTATTTCTAATCGCTCCTGCAGGACCTTGGAGCTGATGCTAGTACGGCTTATTTATTGGGACTTGCCAATTTAATTTTATGATGCTGTTGGAAATTTTAAAATAATCAATTAAGATTCCCCTAATTCTTTGTTCTTTAAGGGTAGTTAAACCAATAAATTTGAGTCTCGATTCATACTTTAGTTTACACAAAGCAGGCACTAGCTTAGTAGCTCGTCTTTGTATTCTTTCAAGATTTTCTATGTTTTTTTTCCTGTAAGGATTTCATGCTGAAGAAAATGTTTCAAGATGAGGTCTTACAAGTGATGTGTACAAAATCTTGATTGATTTTACATTTCAGTTATCGAAAGTTCTTTTAAGCATTCCAAAAATATAGTTAGCTTTTGAAGAGGCTTTTTGGCATTGGATTTCCCAATTTAAGTTATTTGTAATTACAATACCAAGGTCACGCTCGGCCATAGTTTCATGTAAATCTTGACCATATATCGTATACCTATGTTCATAAATGTTATTATTTGATTTTTTTCTAATATACATAACCTTACATTTGTCATTATTAAATTTCATGCGCCATTATTAAATTTCATGCGCCGTAGCTGCATCAATGTCATTTTGTAATGAAACGCTGTCCAATGGTTTTTTTACGACCGCAACTAGCTTTGTATTGTCAGCAAAAAGCTTTATGAAATTTGTTGCCACTTCTGGCAAATTGTTGATAAATAAAACAAAGAATAGCGGTCCTAAACTAGATTCGGTTATGATGCCCAATGTTTCTATTAAGTTCGCCAGGCAAGATTTATTTTTAACAAAACCGTGTTGTTGGTTGAAGAGCAATTTATTTTCAATCAGATGTTTTATGATTACTTTTTTAATTATTCTTTCTATAATTTTACGAGCTACAGACGTGAGAGCAATGAATCTCTAGTTTGATGAGTTTGTTCTGCTCTCATTTTTGAATACTGGTGTCAAATTTGATTCTTTCCATTTTGTTGGAATATAGCCTACTTTGCATAAACGTTTAAAAATTTTGGATAATATTTTTGAATAGCTATCTGAGCAGCTTTTTAATATATATGGGTAGATCCCATATTTGAAATAAAAAATTATATTATCATACATCATTGTTATATTAAACTATTATTAATTAATATTATATAGTATTATTATAACAATAGTTTCATATATATATATATATATATATATATATATATATATATATATATATATATATATATATATAAAACTATTCATATTCTAAATATTAAACTTAATCAAAGTTTGATTGAAATTGAAATACCACACTTTTTGTGAAATTATTGGAACTTACCTATTTGTCTATTCAAGGATTTTTTAAATAATCAATTGATATGAGTAAAATAGGGCAGCCCGAATAGTCTGAAATTGTCGAATTATTTGAAATATCGCAGTGCTCCATTTTGATTTTGTTAAAATTCTGCACTAGATGGTGATGCAAACCGGTTTGACTCGCAAAGGAATAAAAGCCATTTGGTTAATAATATTGCAATGAGTAGAACTGACATGTTTTTTGAGCATGGCTTGAGAGGTAAAGTACAATTTACAATGCTTACAGATTCTTTGAGACAAACTTGATTGCACAGAGGGACAAAATAGATTAAAAAGATGCCTTAATGATTTCAATGATTGAGGAATGTTGCTTAAAATGTTTGAAGGGTTGTGAAAAGTAAAGAAAGGAAAAGATTCGTGATGGATACGTCTGAAATGGCTGCAAATTTTTAGAAACAAACCAATCCTGATTTAGTCATGAATTGGTTTATTTATACGTTGTGTCTCTAATTTTTTAAAAACGTGGTTTTTATAAAAAGTATTTAAATATATCATCAATTAATAGAATACAATTTTTAAATCTAGTTTTTAAGATCGGAAAAGTATTGGATATATCTAAACTAGGTATAACAACTTTATTCTAAAGATATGGTACGCAAAATGTAATGCAAAATTTGTTAAACTTTGTTCTGTAAGTTGGTTCATATACAAAATTTGTGTTTCTAAGTACATATTTATTTATTGGGCTTAGAGAAAAAAAGTCTTTAAAAATAGGTAAACTTGAATCGTTTTTCCATATGTAAATAAAGCATAAAATATTATAAATATTGAGCTCGTAAATATTAAGTATGTTTATCTCGATAAATAATGGTCTGGAATGGGTAAAATGATCCGCAAAATTATTCATGCAGATTGCATGGTTCTGACGGCGATAAAGGCAATCTAACTTACTTTTTTCGGTGCTTCCCCAAGCTTTGTTGGCATAGTTTATATAGGTGTAAATAGATGAGTAATAAAGTTAATTAATAAATGATTAATAAAGAGTATGACAAAAATAATGCAATTTCAGAAAAATTTAACAGTTTTTTTTCAACATAGGTCTATCTATGTTGAAAAAAAAACTCGTTTGAAACTTATCTAACTAGTATCAACGACGAACTAATATTTAAAAAACTAAAAATTGATAAAATTGAAAAACTCTATAAAAATAAACAAGTCTCTAGAGATTTGCAGTAATATTGCTGTTAATGTCTTTTCAGAGATACGCAAACCTTTTTTTGAAATATTCAAACCATCAATTAAAACTGGAACTGTACCAGATAAATTAAAGTAGCTAAAATTATATCTATTTTTAAAATCGGTGAAATATTTATAATAAACAGTTACAGACCAATCTCAATACTTACAACCTTTTCTAAAATACTTGAACAAATAATCTACAATTGACTATATGAATATCTAACTCAAAACAAATTTATAAATAAAAAACAGCTCGGTTTTTATTCACAGCACTCAACAAAACATGCAAATTTAG